ACCTCTGTGACAGACAAACAAATATTTATAGTTTTTTGATAGTTTGGATTCTTGGCTTGATTTAGCAGATCAGCTGTGAACCTTGACTTTGAAATCACATAAATGTCATGGTACCCGAACGAATCCCCGCATGACATTTCTTCGTAGCACAATTTTTCGTCCGCATTTCTTCGTCTACAAATCTTCGTCAGTGCATTTATTTGTCCCTCAATGCTTACTCTTGCATATATTTGCGTTGAAGAAGAAATGCGAGCCGATTTTCATATACCCTGATGCGAGACAAAGTAATGCGATACGAATAAATGCCCTGACGAAGATTTGCAGACGAAGAATTGCGATACGAAGAAATGCCATAAGAAGAATTGTCCTGGAATCCTTTAATATATTGACCTTGATAAGATAAACGCATCATTCGCGCAATATTTGTCGCACTTTGATACCAAACTATTGCTTCCAAATGCCGACGTAAAGAAAACCTTTATGTGACGTCATAGAAGCAGCGGAGTTCCCAAAAAGTAAACCTTACCTTACCTTACCTTAATGTTGGCGGGACTATTGGAGGCCAGAGGCCTATTGGACCCGATCTCGTCGAGCTCATGCGGTACTCTTTGCTCAAACTCAGTTTATGGTAGGGATATCGTACATACGACTCGACCAGTGTCTGTCAAGGAGGTTCTTGAACCCATTCAGGGTCGGTGCGAGAACCACTTCAGCCGGCAGCGAGTTCCAGTCGTTGACCGCACGTACGCTCCAGTGGTTTCTTCGTACTCTAGTCAGAGCTCTTGGTTTGGCCACCTTCATCGTATGACCTCTTGTGCTTGCCGATGGAGCAGCCTGGAAGAAGTCTTCTTTCTTCAGGTTCAGAAGACCAGTCATGAGCATGTAGAGCATGATGACGTCTCCTCTGCGTCTTCTGTAAAGCAAGGACGGCAGCCGTAGCTTGCGCAGCCGCTCCTGATACGGGAGATGCCGGATTTCAGTGACAAGTCGCGTGGCTCTGCGCTGGACTCTCTCCACCAGTCGTTGATCTTCTTTGTTGAAGGGGCCCCAGATGATGTTGCCGTACTCTAGGTGCGGTCGGACCAGGGTCTTGTAGAGGACTGGGAGAGTCTCGGAGTTGAGTAGCTCAAAGGAGCGTCGGATGACTGCCAGAATCTGGTTGGCCTTGCTGATGGCAACAGCAGCATGCTTCTTGAACTTCAATTCCTCGTCGATGAAGATGCCCAAGTCTTTCTCTTCTGTCACCGCTGAGAGTGGCTCCCCCAGAAGCGTGTACTGGAACCGTGGATTACCTCTCCCGAGGTGAAGAACCTTACACTTCTTCAGGTTGAAAGGGAGAAGCCAGGTCGCTGACCAGTTCGCTGCGGCTACTAGGTCGAGTTGCAACTGGGCGCCGTTCGCGTCAGTAGGAGCCTGAGGCGGTTGCGACTGGTTTGGGCCGTACAGTTTTGCGTCGTCCGCGAACATGGCGATATGGCTCTTGACACATTCTGGGAGGTCGTTTACGTAGATGACAAAGAGCGTCGGTCCCAAGACCGAACCCTGTGGGATGCCGCTCATGACAGGGTGTTGAATCGAGGTTGTTCCATTGATCGCCACTCTTTGACCTCGGCCAGTAAGAAATGCCTCAATCCACTTGAGCACCGGGCCTCGGATTCCGTAGCCCTTCAACTTTGCAAGCAGACGCTTGTGCGGAACAGAGTCGAAGGCTTTTCGAAAGTCCAGGTAGGCAATATCAATATGCTCTCCATTCTCCAACTGCCGAGTCCAGTCCTCCAGAGTAGAGAGGAGTTGGGTTGCGCACGACCTCTTGGGAAGGAAGCCATGCTGGGCATCGTTGAGCTGCCCGGTCTCCGTGAGGAACTCCATGATTCTGTCTCTGACTATGCCCTCCAGCACCTTCGAAAGCACGGATGTCAGGCTTACAGGTCTGTAGTTTGCTGGTTCCAGTCTGCAACCACCTTTGAAGATTGGAACAATAGTTCCCAGTTTCCACTCGTCTGGAAGAGAGCCGCTATCAAGGGACTTCTGGAACAGAGAGCAGACGGGAGAACTGATTGCGGTCGCGAGCTCTCGCAGGACCCTCGAAGGAATACCATCAGGACCAGGGGAGGTGGAGGTTTTGAGGCTCTCCAGTCTGCGCTGAACCAGTGCAGGACTCAATTCAACACGCTCTAGTGTTCGTCCTTCCCATGGAGACGCCAGGTCCGGCATGTTCGAACAGTCCTCCACGGTGAAGACACTGGCAAAGAACTCAGCAAGCACGTCCGCCCTCTCCTGATCTGAAAGTGCTAACGAGCCATCAGCCTTTCTGAGGTTTCCAATGCCAGGCTTAGTTTTCAAACGTGAGTTGACGTATCTCCAAAAAGGCTTCACGTTGTCTTTGAGCACATCAACCAGAGTCTGTTCAAACCTCCGCCTCAACCGCCTGGTGAGGCTTCTCAGGTCGTTACGCGCGCGGACAAAACGATTGTAGCACTCCACGTCTCGAGTTCTCACGTATTTCTTCCAGAGCTTATTTTTCTTATTTCTTAGAGTCCGGGCTTCTCTTGTTACATAGATGTTCTTCCTCTGATGGGATCGATGAAGCGGGATGTTCTCTGTCATCATCACCTTGATGGTCTCGGAGAAGAGCTTGCAGTGTTCCTCCAGCGGGACCGACTCTAACGAGGCCCACGACACGCTTTGGAGGTCATTCACCATCTTTGCATAATTACCCTTGCTTAGGTTCAACTTGGCTGTGTGGTTGCCTGCTCCAGGTGTGTAGCAGTGCAGCTCGAACCATAACACCTCATGGTCGCTGTTCCCGAGAGGAGGGAGGTGAGTGATTTCGGATATCATGCCCTCCTCATTAGAAAATATCAGATCCAGGACGTTGGGGGTGTTACCAGGTCTGTAACGTGTTGGTCGCTTGACATGCTGGACGAGGAAGCTGTCTCGAACCGCCTCCAGAAACGCATGGGCCGGGTCAGACGGTGGACCAAGAGACATACAACAGCTCCAGTCAATAGAATTGAAGTTGAAGTCCCCCATAATGACGAGGTGAGATGGGTTAGCTCTTGTAACTTCAATGAGAAGGTCGCAAAGCTTCGTTGTGGACTGACAGTCGCTGGAGGGGCTACGGTAGATGCCACCTAGGATGAGCTCATCGGAGCCCCCCAGTCGTACCTTCAGCCAGAGTTGCTCTGAAAAGTCATTTGAAAACTGAACTTGGGTCACACATAAGTGCGCAGCCACAAAGAAGCATATTCCTCTCAATCCTGATGACCCCAATCGAGGAGCTGTTGGTTCAAAGCTGGTGAATGTCACATAACCAGGTAGAGCTAACTGGGAAGGGCTGATGGGCAGGGACTGGGCTTTGGGAATGACTTCTGTTATCACTATGATGTCAGGTCTAGTACCGGCGATGTACATACTCAAATCATCTCTCTTGTTCAGGAACTGATCTGCATTCGTGTATACACATGTTAAGCCTGTCTGGGCCCTCCCCGTCCTGCCCTCAGTCAGTCAGGCCGTTCTTGGATTGGCTGCCGAGTTGCTCGCCCCTGAGGCTGCTTCAGCATCAGCATTCACAGCCGGCACAGAGCCCGTGCCAGCCTGACCGACTTCAGGTTCCGGTTCCACCTCCTGTTGGATAGTTTCTTGGTGTTGGGTCATGTCTGCCCCAGTTGATGCGGGTGCCTGTCCAGCCTGCTGTTGCGACTCCAGCGGCTGGCCAGTCACGGCCCTGGAGTGTGATGTTTCCCTTCCAACTTCCACAATCCTTCTGTTTCGAATTGTCAGGTGCAGCTCACCATTTTCCTTCCTTCTCTTGAGTTCGTCTCTAAGCCTGCGTGCTTCTTCCCTTTCTGTGCGTGTTAAGTCAGGAGAGAGGTATACTCTCGGCCATTTCTGACTGTGGCGCAGTTGTGGGGCTAGACGGATGATCTCCCACTTCAGTTCTTCACTTTCCAGGGTAACAATCAGTAAACGAGGTTTCCCTGGAGTGAACTTTCCGACTCTGAATGATTTTGTCACACTCGTGATGACACGGAGTTCGTCCTTCACCAGTTGGGCAAAGACTGACTTATCGTGAGTGGCCCTTTCCAAGGGACTTTGACCATCTGACTCAGGCAGGTTGTGGACAACTACATTTTTCCTCCTTTTTTCTTTGTCTAGCACACTGTCAACAATCCCTGCGATTTGTTGTGGGTGATTTTCTGTGCTGTTTTGAGTGCGTCTTTCCTTTGGAATGGATTCAATCTTTGAGCTGATTGAGTTTACAACTTCAACACATGAACCTTTCACTATGCTGGCGTAGCTTGCTTGTCTTTTTTCATCCACCTCTGTTGTCTTCTGTTCTACCATCGAGACGTGATCTAGCATCATAGATTTCATTTTTTCATGACTTTCTTTCATGAGATTGGCTAGGGAATCCTGGTTGTCCTTCATTTTGCTCAGCAATTTTGATTGCTCAGAGAGCATCTCCTCAAGCCTCTGGATTTTAACTTCCATATTTGCACAACTCCTACATCCACCTCTGGTCGTTAGAAGACCCTCTTTGCATATCGAGCAGAGCCAGGCCAGTGCCTTGTGACGTTTTAAGGCCTTCATCTCCACCTCTGACAGACCTTGGCAGCAAGAGTGAAACCAGACATTGCATGAATCACAAAGGATGCCCTCGTCTTCATCCGTCACTGGTTTGCCACAGTGTTTCGAAGGACCTCCAGGACACATGGCAACATCTGCAGCGTCACCCACACTGGAGGAGCGGGAGGGCGGTCCGAAAGGCTTGAAAACCTCATCATCAAGCCTTCCTATATCATTTCCTTTGCGCCCAGGCTTCCCAGTGATGCCATCAGAACCAGTTGGGTTGGAAGGGGCCAGAGAAACGGAATTACCTTTTGATTGTGTTTGGGAAATAGGTCCTCCATCCCCCGCTAGTAGTTTTGATTTACCATCGCCATTATCTCTCACCTTCTTTGATGGTTTTGTCGTTTTGGTGGTGGCTTCGAGTTTACCTTTGTCTGCACATGGTTCCGTAGTATTTTCGACACCGGCACCAGTTCTCGCCGAATTTGACCTCGATCCACCCCGAGTCTCACTTTCCTGTGACATTCGCACCGGCGACGCTGACGATTCATTTCTGGTGTTTTTACGCGTCAGTGGGCGTTCCGGTGAACGAAGTGTCGGCATCTGGCAGACAACTGCCGCCCCCTAGTGGGGAGGTGCCTTGGTCTTCGGTTTCTTTTACTTTTTCTTGAAGAAAAACCTTAGCTTTAAGCTAAACCCTAAATGTTAATTTTCTTGTCGATATTTAGTTTAGGATTTGAGATGCTTGAGTATAGGGATCAGCAAGAGAAGAGCAAATATCGCAGGAGCTCGCGAGGCACGTCCGTTCCCGCCAAAAGTCCGCGACCAACTCCAAATTAGAGTAAGACTTTTATAAGACTTTCAACTCACTAAGACTTTTATTTTTAAACAAAAATAAAAGTCTTATATCTCGAAAACGGGTGAATATTTTCCGGTAAAATTTGGTAGATGTTCATTTTCGCTCTTTGTGATTCACGCTACATCACTTTTATGCCAATTCATTAACTTTTTTGAAGGTGGGAGGGTCCCTTTAAAGGAAATAGTTCACTTTTTAACATGGGTTTTGAACTGGAATAGCAGTTCCGTAGCCTGGGCTGAGACGAGCATAAATCAGGAGCTTTTACAGCCCAACGATCACCCTAGGCAAAGATATTCTATTTCTCGTCCCGAAAAAGGGGCTCTCTCTATCGTCTGGAGGTTTCGAAAGATGCTCTCCAGAGATGGCGCTAGTAAGTTTGGCTGACATGACGTCATGCTTAAAAGTGATGGGTTTTGTGAGAGCAAATGTAATAATAGTTGAAAATTTTGTACTTTTGCTTAATTGAGAAAAAATAAATTTACAATTGTTCAAAACAGCGTTTTCCTCATTCATCCTTCATTGTTTTAAGAGGAATATAGACAGTTTAAATCTTTTGTCTTGACCGCAATTCGCACACGCACTAAATTAAAAGCTGGAGTTTTGTGCGTTCGTAAGTCGTGTTTTGAGAAAATAAATTGACAATAATCTATTGCACTTTTGCTTTACAATCATTTTTCAATGTAGATAAATACATGAATTATTCGAAAATAGGCATATCTTTGAAATATTATGATTTTCCACAAGCAAACTTTTCCAAAAACTTGAACTACTCACAACTGACGAACGCATCCAATAATCTGGATGTCTTAGGATGAGTTCGTCATTTTTTTCCCAAGGAATTACGATACAGTTTAAGCTACTTTTCCGATTTATTAGGGTACTTTTGCCAATGAATTAATAAATAAACGACAACAATTAATCTCATTATCAACCATACTCGGAAGAATTTTCTTCGCATAAGCGCGAACACATCCGCGCTTTCATGAAAAGTAGTGCCTGTAGAGGTCAGGACTGCTGCTTTATGTTTCGCAAGGTGGCGCAGCGCGCAGGGTACCGACTACCGAGGCTGAGGTCTCCAGACTCTCCACCACGATTTAGCTTGGAAATGGCCAATGGGGAAGGTCTCACCCAAAAAACGGACGCCCTTTTACACAGCTGCATAACGAAAATGAATTGTTGGCATAGCTGACCATACGTCCCCTCCCCCTCTCCGCCCCAGCTCAATTGGAAATACGCCTATTTTCCTTAGTCAGTTATATTCTGACTAATTTCTCACTCTTCTGCAGATGTCCACTGCGTAAGTCGTGTGCTTGCGTAAGTGTGCCAACTATATAGTGCTGCCTACACTCTACAGTGCCTACTGCTTCCACCATTGTCGTTATAATTGGTGATTCTCAGGTCAAAAGTTACACAGTGGTCTCAGAGAACAATCGTTTCAACTAATTAACGATTCAAACCGTTGCATTCTACTTATATTCCGGTCAGTTCTGCTACTAAACGATTCCGGCAAAACACTCTTTAGGTTATGTATTAGCGAACCACCACACAAAATTCGCCCAATCAATGGTCAGTTATTACTGCTGGGCTGAACTGTCATACGCTATATAGCCTATTGCAGTCAATATTTTCAGAACGATACCGACTGACGAAACACAACGTATTCGCGGATTCGTACATACGTTGGCACCCAGGTGGCCTGTCAGCAGCCGCACAAATTGAGATGGTACACCGTAAAGCATGCCTTTCCACACAGGCACAAGCACAGGGACACAAATTTTCAAAATCCAAACTTATTCCAATACTGGTCAAATACTAATAGGCATAAAGTTTTGAGGTTTTCTCATGTTCATTCTTCTTTCAACACACGCGGCAGACTGCAGCAGAACATCTCACAGAGCTGCGCTGGATGCAGTCATGAGCTGGGACACGGTTTGTGACCAATGACCGATCGGGGGTGCCAGCCTCCTCCCGGCACGCGATGCACTGGCCGCCGCGCAGTCGATGTCGGGGCACCGCCGGCATTCGCCGACAGGGTTCCATCCGATTCGGTGTATTGGTGGCAGCCCGAACAGTGACCCACGCGAAGCTGGTGGACGTCGATGGCCGATGAGCGATGCCCTTCCGCGACCGGCGGTGGCAGTCGGTCCCACATCAAGAACAGATACCAGTCATGCGGTCAGTCGGCGACGGCGCGGTCGCGAGCCGATCTGATGGTCGCGCGGTGGGCGTTGCCGACGTCCACCGGGACCGTCGACTGGGGGAGCGCGGCCGCCTCTTGGCCGCCGCCTCTGGTCGGCGCGCTCGTTGCGCTGTGGGACGGCATCCACTGCAAGTCGTTCACTGTGAAGCGGTCGTTTGACCGGGCCTGGCAGGCGGGGAAAGGGGGCCTCGGATGAAGGAAAACCATCCCTCAGGCCAGCTGCCTCTCCACCTCACCATGGCAGATAAGCGGACACCCTCGTGATCATCGCAGCGATGATTGCCAATTGGTGTGTCATTATGGGAGAGGATGCCAGCCTCCTTTGCAAGATAGTCTGCAGCCCGACCCATTGCCTGTGGCAGCAGACTGGGCTTGATAATGCGGTGCAGGACACACCAAACGTAAGCGGCCATCTGTACCCCTGTGCAGTCTGGGCTGACTGACTCAAGAGCCCAGAGTTGCCCTCCCCCACCATTCTGTGCACGTGATAACTGGATGGGACATGCCATGGTCAGCATCTGTTCAAAAGCTGCTCTAAGCATGTGAAGCTCCACTGGCATGCTCCAGCACGGCCACAGTCAGTTCTCACTTCTCAGTTGAACCTCCAATGGAAACCAATCATGAAGTAGAGATCAGGGCGCCTCTCACACTACAGCACACTCAACGACTGAGGCGCCAGCTCATCACTTGCAGGTGGTTCTTGCCAACAGCAATGCCAGCCACTCACATCAGGTGATAACAGCAGTGTACAACTGCAATTTTTAAGCATCTATGCTCTTTCTGGTTTTCTCCTGTTGAGATCCACTGCCATGCATGAACTTGATGGGCTTTTGTTGTGCTCCTCCCATGTGCAGACAGGTTTCCGCTGAAACAAAGTAAAGCAAATGTGATTAATAATGGCCCTGTTTCACCACCCAGACACTGTGTGCGCTGGCAGCTATGCTATGGTAGCTACGGCATACCATAGCGTCACTCAAATGACGTTGCATGTGATCTCTTTGTTTATGATGAATCGCACTTGGAACAGAGTGAGAGGTCCAGAAAAACCAAGTACCTACCAAGAACAGAGGTTTGAGTTCAAATACTGCTAGCATGCTGCTGGCGCTGGCGCCACAGCGTGCTAGCATTCTGGGATGCTGTCATAGCTTAGCGTCAGAGTGAAGTTTGTTGACACTGACACTGCCATGGAAACCCAATGCTCCGACACACGCAGCACACTGCAGTGCTCTGCCGTGAAACACCACCCATGAACATTAATTGCATGACCAGGATCGAAGCAGTGTGGCAGAGTGCTTTTAATTTTAGTTACACTTTCTAGAGATTAACAAGTTGTTAGTGAAATGGCTATTCATTATTCCTATTACCATTGTCTAAATTTCACATTTCAAGACAGCATTGACATGTTATCTAAAAAAAGGTTTAGACTTCAGGTGGTCCCGGATTCAGTTATTAAGAGGAACAAGGGTAAAAAATTGTCCAAAAAAAATATTTAAAAATACCTGCCTTCATCAACACCTCATCTAATGACATATCCTCCATGCAATAAGCAAAAACCGTTTGAATAACAATGTAATATTTTGCAACCGCTGCACCATTACTGTCACGTACGCTATCCCTAGAGTGGTTGCTGGTAAGTAAGTGGTTGTCGTCATCAACTCGTCATGCAGCAGCTGATTGGGATGGGCGGGGCCTATTTTTATCCAGACGATAGAGAGAGCCGAAAAAGGTGTCGATGAGTGCCTTGCATATATTCGCATCCAGTATGAAAAGAGCATGGGTACCGAAAATTCTTAAGAAACTAGAGAAATTATCTACGAGAACTCTAGAGAAATTCTCGTACTGATCAATAAGGACATTCAGCAGCAGCAGATCGCCCAAATGCCGGTGGCCGCGATAATTTCTCTAGTTTCTGAAGAATTTTCGGGACCCATGCTCTTTTCATACTGGATCGCCTGTGCCTTACAGAAACTGAAAAGTTCTTCCTATATCAAAATATAGAAAATAATCTTTTGTTATAAATAGGTTTTATTTTCTTTGCTGATCATTTTGAACATAAAAAATCATAAATCCATTGCAAAAAAAATAATTTCGTGAAAGTGAACTATTTCCTTTAAAGGGACTATCCCACCTTCTAAAATGTTGTTAAAACCAGTTAAATTGTGCCCGACTTTATAGATTAGATGACCAGGAACACGGTTCTGGCATTTATTTTTCATTAAACATCTTAGGCTTCCCATATTCCAAACACAAACTTTCAAATATGTGACGTCACAGCCCAAAATTACCTCCTTCCCCAGGCCACATTACTGTCATAAAGCTGATTCTTTTTACTCTGTAGGCACCACAACAAAGTTCAGACCAAGTTTTAAGCGATTTTTCAACGAACAAACCCATTTAAATCAGAATGACTAAACGAGGTGATGTCACACTAACGGTCGCTCCATGTTGAAGATAGGGCCTTGTACAAGGCCCATTTTCAAATGAAGGGAACGAATTTCTTCGACACCAAGAGGCCGCGGGGGTTGCAACCTAGATAGATAGTGGTTTCTGAACCTCGCCGCAAACTTGGCTATCTCAACTCAAACCCCATGTTAACCCTCGCCCTGGCAGGGCATTTTTCATAACACGGCCTGGCAGGGGGGGGGTCGATGCGACCCCCCCCTCGCGATTGGCTCCTATGGCACCTAGAAACACCAAATTTGGTAGGTAGGTGGGCCCCCATGAGTTCTCGCCCCTGTGCAAATTTGGTTGCTCTAGGTCAATATTTAGGGGGG